TAACTATTCATCTCACGTGATACTTTAAAAATAATAATACTCAACTAGAAACTAACATGTGAAAATAAGGATCGAAAAAATTTATTATGCGTCGTTGTTTGATTGATTATTGTTAATTTTAACTTATTATGTATGATGAATAATTAACAATATTATGATAAAAGTTTTAATCAATAAATTTATAAATATAAAGAGTTTCAATCAACTTAAAAAATAATAAAAAGTTTAATAAAAAAATTAAAACTATAAAGAAACAATTATAGAATAAAACCAGAGAAAAATGTAACGAAGAAAAAAACAAGACAAGGTTCATGGTTCCCGCATGAAAGGGGCACGCGCACAGCATGATCTTCTTATACCACACGTGCGGGAGGTCTTGGTTTGTTTTTTTTTTTTTAATGCCTTTGATGATGGATGGATTAGGGCTAGGCCAGGCAAGCCAGCTAGCTGTCCTGTCTCCATCCGCCTTAGCTGGATCCGCACGTGGCCATGGCGCGACTATTGGACCTCTTGATTAAGACTGTTTATGCTTTATATTTCTTTATTTGGTAGATTTTCTTGCAATTGATGACCTAACAATGTTGAAATTTAATACTACCTAATAACATAATCATGTATTTTATAATAACGATAGGTTGTCGAATTATAGATCTATCGATGTCGGTAGATATGTTTTATTTGTTTTAGTAATTGTGCGTTCAATAATTTATTTATATAGAATAAGATTTGAGTTTTGATGGTTTTAATTTTCTCAATTATATATAATGAAAACTAATTTTATTATGTAATTCAAGACCATTTAGATTTATCAATAAAAATGAAAAAAAGTAACAAAAAGTGAATAGAGGTAAATGATATCATAGGATATTTTTTAAAAATCATTTAAATTTCTTCCATCAAATTTTATTTGGATGAAAATCACTCTATATCTTTATATTATCCAATTTTGATTATTTTAATCTTTTTTATCTAATTATGGTATACTAAAACTGATTCGAAGAAACCCAACTAATTGTAAATATTAAAAAAATGAAATAAATAAATTCTTTTATCCAATTTCATTAATCAAATATCATCATATAATTGATTGGATATTGAATGAAAAAACTAATTTGTTACATAATTTGATAAAGAGGGAATTTCATTCTTTTTTATTTTCTTATTTTGTAACGGAATTTGTTACAAAAACGTGAAAACTTATCATGATTCATTTAAATAATTTTAATAAATATAATAAAATATAAGATTTTTATTCCTTTTTTTCTTCTTGATCCAACAATAAAAGAAAACTAACAAATACACTACGGCATTCATTAGTTTTCCAGAGCTCTAAAATTCCTCCGTTTTACCCCCAATTTTTTTTTTGATAACTGTAGTTTTATATATTTATATATATATATATATAGAAAAACAAGTAAATTGATTTGTCGCAGCAAACATGTTTAGTGATTGAAGCCGACACCGCATGAATTAAAGGGCAATGAGCCGAGCCGTACATTTCTACCTCTTCGTTTTCAGAAACAAGGAAAGACAGAGGGGGGGGGTGGGGGAGCGCGCCTCCATGGCCCACATTCACGTGTTCTGTGATAGTCGACACGTCAACCAGTGAAGTGGATGGTGGTGTGGTAGGGTTTAGCTTTGTTATGGATTTCCGTGTCACACGTGTGGAGCCGACGGTGTCCCCACCCCCTCTCTCCCTGCAAAAGTACTCTAAAAATTATTTGCATGATTTTGTACGAGTCTGAGCCTGAGGGGTCTAAGCCTCTCTACTCTTTTTTTTTTTTTTTTTTTCGTTTCTTTAAATAAAAAAATGATTTCTCTGAACTTGTTGCTTGTCCATATCTGTACCGTTCAAACCCAACATCACGTCAGACTAACGCTTTTTAACTAATCATCATTAAGGAAAAATAGCATGCTTTTGGGTGATTTATCCAAATTAAATCCCCATTTTACCTCTATTTCTATCATGTTTTTCCGTGCGTCTATGCGAGATTCACATGTGCTCGCAATGTAATCACCCGTGAAAACCTAAGATTTAGATTAGGCACAAAGTTCAAAATATAGTTAATGAGGAGATTAAAGATATATATACATGTCTCTTTATAGTTTTAAATGCTTTAATCATATTTTTTTATTATTTTATCTTTTTATTTTTAATTACATATGTATTTTTTTCGATTATTATTTTTAGATAATGAAAATAATAAAAAAAATATCGAAAGTTATCTCTGTTACTTAAAAAATTGATCAGATAAATTAAATACAGATATAATTAAAAATAAAAAAATTTAATAATTAAAAAAATTAATAAAAAATATGATTAAGACATTTGAAGCAGTAGTAACTCATTAATAATGAGCTTGGAGGAGCATCCATGAACCAGTAATTAATTTATCCAATTATATGGGGTTATTACCCTAACCTTAAACTAATGAAGATGTCAGAAAAGCAAGAACTTGAAGATAAAAAAGTGATTTCTGTTTCGGGAACTCATGAATAGTAGTACTCTTACAGGGACCATGCTATGCTATGGACAGGCTAGATCCCTATGCCTACGGTCTATATGGAAAAATTGATACGCATTTTTGTCGATAATAGGGGCGCCTCTTCTCGGAAAAATTAATAATTCTTCTTCTTTTAGAAGTCGTTTTAACATTTTAGTGCTTGTGGTTATTATGGATAAATCATAAATAACAGGCCAAATCACGTAGATTTAGAAAAGTTAATCACGCAACAGACTGTTAAAAATTCCCATTTTTCACTGCAAGATTTGCTAGGTTTTTGCTTTTTCTTCTTCTCTTTTGGTTTCTTTCATTTGGTAGGTGCATTTTTTTTTCTTTTTTTTGTGGTGGGGGGAATGCTTCATAAATAAGAGATTTCAAGAAGCAAACTGGGTTCCATCCTCAATTGCTCTGCTACAAAATAATGCTAGTAGCAGAAAATAAAGGTCAATTATGTAGTATGAGGTGGCCAATTACTTTTCCCTTTTACTACTGACATTTGGACAGACGAAGCAGCAAGAGTGAGGTCATAGTTTCACCAACTTAGGCTTGAAAATACTATGACTTGATTATACTGAAAATGACAAATTGGGCAGGGCACAGCATAATTTTACATTATATAAAGATTATTGTATAATAGTTTTGAAGTATTTTATTATTATCCTTTAATATTATTGTGCTAGATTTAAAAAAGTTGTTATTTAATAATTTAAAAAAAATTTATTATTGTTATTTTAATATTATATGATAACCATCTTCGTCATCTTTTTAATCATAAAAGATTTAAAAATATGAATCATAGAAATCTGTGTATTACTAGGTGATCAATTACTTTTGGCATTTACTACTGCATTTGTACAGATGAAGTAGCAAGAGGAAGGTCATAGTTTCACCAACTTAGGCTTGAAAATACAATAACTTAATTATTCTGAAAATGAGAAATTGGGCAGGCCATAGCATAATTTTAAATAACCGTTATTACGATATATAACAGTTGTTATGTAATAATTTCAAAGTATTTTGTTATTATCATTTTAGTATTGTAATAAATTATAATCTGCGATAGCAATCGTGATCATTTAATTATTTACGATTAAAACGATTGTTATATAATAGTTTCGAAACATTTCGTTATCGTTATTTTAATATTATAACAAACTAAGATTTGTTATAGCAATTCCGATTTTTTTTAACCGTCAAGCTTGTTTAAAATTACACATCATAGATATCTCGTGTACTATAAGGTGGCTAATTACTTTTTAATTTTACTTCGACATTTGGACAGATGATGCAACAAGAGTAAGGTCATAGTTTCACCAACTTAGGTTTGAAAATGCAATAACTTAATCATTCTGAAAATGAGAAATTGGGCAGGCCATAGCATAATTTTAAATAACCGTTATTACGATATATAACAATTGCTATGTAATAGTTTTAAATTATTTTGTTATTATTATTTTAGTATTGTAATAATTATAATCTGCGATTCATTTGACCATTTGCGATTAAAATGATTGTTATATAATAGTTTCGAAACATTTTGTTATCGTTATTTTAATATTATAACAAACTAAGATCCGTGATAGCAATTGTGATATTTTTTTAACCGTCAACCATTTAAAATTACACATCATAGATATCTGTGTACTATAAGGTGGCCAATTACTTTTCAATTTTACTACTGACATTTGGACAGATGATGTAGCAAGAGTAAGGTCATATTTTCACCAACTTAGGCTTGAAAATACAATAACTTATACTCGAAATGAAAAATTAGGCTAAGCCATAATATAATTTTAAATCACGATCATTACATAATATATCGGTTGTTATGAAATAGCTTCAGAACATTTTATTATTATTATTTTAATATTATAATAAGTTACAATACATCATTGTTTTTTTAATGATTTATGATTTAAAAGTATAAGCAATAAAGACATATGATAGTAGTGCTAGAGATATCAAGGCATACAAAAAGTTTTACACATTTTTAATTGTTAAAAAAATTAAAAAGTCAATTAGGTATAAATCATTCGTAATTTCACCATTAAAATTCATAAAAAGCTAACAAAAGAATCTGATTTAAATAAAAAATAATTAAAAAAAGTATAATCTAAAATTAGAAATTGAGTAATTAATTTTTAAATGACTTAAAGTTTATGAAAGTTTCGAACCATTAAAAAAAAATGGAAAGAGAAGAATCTAGATGATCAAAATTAACGAAGGGGTTTATTTTTTTTAAAAAAGGTCTATGATAGTTAAATTAAAATGTTTAAACATTGAGGGTGATTTTGAGCCATTTAGCCTATTTCTGTCGCACACAAATGAAAGCTTCAACGATAAAGAAAGAAAGAAAAAGCCAGTCTTCGTGATAAAGAGAGAGAAGTCACCTACAAAACCATAGAGTCTAGAGAGAGAAAACAAAACAACACAAAAGCAAGAACTTGAGAGAGAGAGAGAGAGAGAGAGAGGGGGGTTTGCCGGGGATAAAGAAAGATGACAGCCGGTGGATCCTCAGGGAGGTTACCAACATGGAAAGAAAGAGAGAATAATAAGAGGAGAGAGAGAAGGAGAAGAGCTATAGCTGCTAAAATATACACAGGACTTAGAACTCAAGGGAATTATAAGTTACCAAAACACTGTGATAACAATGAAGTCTTGAAAGCTCTTTGTGCTGAAGCTGGTTGGATTGTTGAAGAAGATGGTACCACATATCGCAAGGTTTGTTGATTTTTAGTATGTTTTTGTTTTAATGAACTTTTATTTATAGATCTATACATACATGCAGTTGGTTTTTTGTGGAGTGTTGGTTTAGGTGGCCTATAAATGTTTTCTTCCTTATGTTTATGTTTGTTTTTTTATCTTTTGTTTAGCTTTCATTAGTTTTTCTTACTGGTCTTGCTATTCCTGATCCAATTGACTTTGGACTTTTGGGTGGTTTTATGATTATTGTCATATTTGGTTTATGGCATTTTGTGGGGTTTGATCTGGAAAATCCTGAGTGGAAATATGGATGAGATGCAACTATCTTCTTACTGTGTTTTCTGGTTCTGTTTCTGTTATTCTTACATCTAAATTGTTTCTGGTTCTTTTTTCTGTCATTTGCAGTTATGTTTTTGTTCTAACTGGTTTGTTCTTCTATTTATTGTAAAAGTTACAGGATTGGTAATTTTTTCCGTGCTTTAATTTGACGTTGGAGTGGATTTCTGTTTCTGGTGATTTGTGGGCTACTTGTAATCAAGAAATTTGTAATGTAATGTTATTACCTTTACTGTCAATCAAATCCTTCATTTACTCCAGCTTGACTACAATCGGTTTCCAAAATGTCATGAGTAGTCCCATAATCTTATCCATACTGTAATCAAACTAATTTAGGATGGAAATTTATTATTGTGTGTTCTGCTTAATCTGTCTGCCTAACTTTTCTTTTATCTAATTTTGTCTCTGCAATGACTAATCCTTTTGTAATTTGCACAGGGCTGCAAGCCACATCTGACTGAGATTGCAGGCACTCCAACAAACATCAGTGCATGTTCCTCAATTCAACCAAGCCCACAATCCTCAAATTTTCCGAGCCCTGTACCTTCCTATCATGCTAGTCCGACATCCTCCTCATTCCCAAGTCCTACCCGTTTCGATGCAAACCCCTCCACATACCTCCTTCCATTCCTCCAAAACATAGCTTCAATTCCCACAAATCTCCCTCCTCTTAGAATTTCCAATAGTGCTCCTGTAACCCCACCACTTTCTTCCCCTACATCTAGAGGTTCAAAGCGGAAAGCAGACTGGGAATCCCTCTCAAATGGCACTCTTAACTCATTTCGCCATCCCCTTTTCGCAGCTTCTGCCCCTTCAAGTCCTACACGACGCAACAATCTAACGCCTGCCACCATACCAGAATGTGACGAGTCTGATGCTTCTACTGTGGACTCTGGGCGCTGGGTGAGTTTTCAGGGAGTGGCACCCCAAGTAGCTCCTCCTTCGCCCACATTTAATCTTGTTAAACCAGTGGCTCAACAGAGTGGTTTTCAGGATGGTGTTGATAGACATGGAGGTTTAAGCTGTGGGGCAGCAGCAGAAAGGGGGAGAGGTGTGGAGTTTGAGTTCGAGAATTGTAGGGTGAAGCCATGGGAGGGTGAGAGGATTCATGAGATTGGGGTGGATGATCTAGAGCTCACTCTTGGAAATGGAAAGGGCCATGGCTAAGCCGCCAACGAGCTTGGGAATCGAACAAGAAGAAGTAGCTCGAGTTTATTGGCATTCTCAATGACGTAATTGGTTTTTTCTTAACCAATTGCATGCATCTCTTGGGGTTTACCTGATGCTACTACTAGCTTGCGAAGACTAGGAGTTCACATTTGATAATTCCTATCCTTGATTTTAGATGTACAGTTTACTTTTCATCGAAGCCTTGCAAGAACTGAATTTATAGAATTCAGTTGCTGATAAGCAAAAAATTATGTCAGGCCTCATGGTAGGGCTAAAAGTCCCAAAATTTTCGTATGGGGAAAAAAGCCTGAAGCAAATGATGTGGAAGGTTATAATCTTTCCTTCCTTAGTTCATGTTAAAAGCATCTGCTTCAGTTCTTCATTGATTGTAGGTTCCTATTTAGCTATGATTGGGGTGGATGGTCGGTCTCACAAGCTTCAAATATAGAGATTGTTTTCTTCTTGGTTCTTTCCGATTGAATATTTTTATATCTTTTGTAGACATTTTAAAGAAACACAATCTCAAAAGCAATTTGAAGGTTGCTAATTATGATCCTTTTGATGAAAAAAAGCAAGAAAATCCCTTGTCTTTCAGATCATATAATTGAACCGCTGCTTTTTTTTTTAATTATGAATCATAATCAAATGTCTGTCGAATGTCTCCTCATGCTTTCTTGTTGAAGGTCTGCCCCACCCGCAAAATAATGCCAACTACTGTTACATTGCATGCTCAAATGTACAAGTATTTGCTGCGGTTAGGATCTTTTGGGTTGTGTGAAAGCTGAAGAATTGAATAAAAGGACAAAAAAGAAAAAGAAATGCAAACAAGATACAAACATACAGGCATTAAATAGTTAATAAAAATTACAGAATTTTTTTTATCCTCCGAGGTATATCAGGCTTAAAGTCTTAAATTAATTTCTTGTTATTTTATCTAATGTATCAAACTCTAATTCCTTACTATTCTGTCATATATATAAGATTGTTAGAGAGTAATATAAATTATATTACGAGTCTCACTTAACAATTTAAGTTTTTAGATGAGATAGTTCTTTAATATAGTATCGTAGCTTAGTTGACTATGTGATCTCGAGTTTAAGTCTCGTCATCTTTAGTTTCTCAAGTATTCAGTACAAAATAATATGTACTTGTGCAAATTTCAAATTCATATGTTAGTATTTTCACTTGAATAGGTGTGTTAAAGAGTAATTTAAATTATTTCTGAAGCCTCTACTTTCGAACCTCATTTAATAATTTAACCTTTTAGGTGAGATATTCTTTTAACAAAGATTAAAATAACTATTCAAATAATTAATTTTTTTTATATATAAAGATTTAAAATCGATAGCGATTAAAGTCCTTTCCATTCAAGCCACGTTTTTTTAAGTAAAATTGGAGAGATATTTTTGGTAGAGCTAGTTATTTTCTGTGACAGTGCAACAGACTCTGCTGCTTCTGGCCTGTAGTGGGTCAAAGGGCATCTTAGAAAAACAAACCTACAAAAGGGACCCTTTCCATGTGATATGTTTTTCATGATGGGGCACGTGACCTATGTCATGCTTGATGTCCGAATATGCCAACCATTCTAATAACTTCCCACAAGCAATTATTAGTGGTATCAGCATTCTGCTCTCTGAATCCTGACAGGATAGCTCTTTAGTACTAGTCCTTATATTTTCCCAGTTTCTTGTTTTTTCTCCCCTCAAACCAGTTAATAACATGTGACAACACAATTAACAACTCTTAAGTAGGATGTTTTTACGTTCTAAGGAAACTGTTGCATTTTTTTTTTTATGAACAGAAGATGGTATAATGTTAAAGGGAGCTTAGCTCCAGATTCTTGGTGTCCACCTCCAATGTGTCAAACTCTACATCAAGCCTAATCAAAGTCTCTTTTACTTCCAAAACCTTTGCCTTTAATTAGAGTTCTCATCTCCTCCTTGACAGCACCTCTTCCATTTAGCTGATAGGTTCTTAAGCTGTTCCAACCTAGCAAGCAAGAAACCAACACTCATTCCTAAGCCCTGAAAGGCTTTCAAAGTCTTATCCTGAAAGGTAGAAAGAATTAAAGCTGTAATGAGATCAGCAATGTTAATAGTCTCTGCAATCATTCAAGCAACGACTGCAGCAAATGTCATAATACTTGATTTGAAGGTGTTTGGAGAGCTCGCTGCTGATAATGAACCATATACAATAATGTTGAAATCTTCAGAACTTTTCTCTTCTTTAAAATCAACAACAGATTCTGAAAATCTGATTCCCGCTGTGATTTCGGAGCCAAGATCCTCACTTTCATGTTCAGAATGATCTGATACAGGTCCATGGTCAGTAAAATAGGCCCATGTGTGATTATTTTCAATTTTTTCTTTAGGGTCGTCCTGCAAGGGGTGTTCAGAATCTTGATCTCCCATGTCTTTGCTTTCCATGCTCAGATTCTCCACATCAACTGCATCATTAGCTTTAGCTAATGAAGATTTTTGTTTTATATACCTATTGGAGAAAAAGATTTGTTTCCAAAGGAATCCTGTAAGTTCTGAAGCAACTAAATTATTTATATTTATTTGGTGAGTCCAAATGCAGCAATTTAAATCAAGTAATTATCTTAGAAAGAAGGTTAATATATAGAATTACCTTGAATTTGTTAGGATCAACTAAATGAAAAACCCATCTCCCTTCATTAACTTGTGAGCCTTGGAGAACCCTCTCCATCCAGCACTTAGGTCTCTCTTGTATGCAGGATATTTTGTCTGATAACTTTTCCCACTTTCATCTTCCAAAACCATCATTGCATCCTCCTTCGGCAAATTCTCATTGCAGAGTTTCTTACAAAAACCCTATAATTAATCCAATAAGTTAAGCCTATACAGATCACCCAAAGATTAACCAACTACTTAAAATATGAAAGGGTTAAAGGTCTGGGATATTACTCTACTGTTTTATTTATCTTAATCGTGTTATTTTACTAATTTTTTTAATAATCACGTCCTTCTATTTTTAACTTGCGTCTTAATTTCATCCATCTGACCAAATATTCTGATAACTATATCAATTTCTGGCGACATACTAATGGGATGCTAACAGGTAGCATTTTTTTCCAAAACAATTTGAAAAAAATAAAAAATTTCCAAAATGCCCCCTTTCTAACAGTAGAGAAAGCAAAAAAAAAAAAAAAGAGCATTTTGGAATTTTTTTAATTTTTTTTTAGATTTTTTTAATTATTAGAAATCCATACGGTTATAAAAAAATTTAGCTAGGGAAATGAAGTTTCGACACAAATTAAGAGTAGTGTAGCATGTGCTTGGGATATGAAGTGCTACATTAGCCAATTTTGGTGGATCTCTTCCCTTTATTCTTTTTAATCAATTGGTCATTGTTGGGCCGAATCTACAATTGTTTTTTTTTTTTTTTTGAAGCGGGCTAACGAAAGAGCATGGGCTTTTCTCCTATTTGGCTGTAGAAAGATGCAGTGATATGTGACCATAATATATCAAACTAAATTATAAATTAGTCCGTCTAGTTTTTTTTTTTTAAAAAAACGAATTACTTAGTCTATCTTATTTCAAAAAATAATTATTTAGTTTTTATATTTTTAAATTTTCTTATAACTTAATTCTTTTTTATTTTAATTTATTTATATTTTTTGTTTTAAAAATCAAAAAATGAAAGAATTAATAAGAAAATATTATTTTTTTAAATAAAATAATATTAAATCAAGTGTAGTTAATACTAATTAAAAAATTATTTAAAAAAATACTAATTTATTTATTTCTTGAAAATAAACATTCTAATTTTATAATTTACTCGAGCAACAAAGCTGAAATACTGAAAATAGAAAAAAAATGGAAAAAGAAAAAAGCTCAATGATCAGTGATTAGAGATTGATTAAATTTGTGTGGTAGCCCATCCTTGATGCGAAAGCAAAACAAAGAGTATGGGTTGAAATTTGGTTAGAAAAGACTTGAGTGGTTCGTAAAGTCTAACCAAATGGTCAATTAAAATCAATTCAACATATATAAAGAGGTGTTTTATTTTTTGTACAGACAGATACGACGTTTAAGGAAAAAAAAAAAAAGGATCAGGTGAAATATAAGTAGGGCCTCGCTAACAAATGGCATTAATACTCCTCCAACCAACTCAATTAGCATAGTTTTACATGAAATTAACTTCTCTCTAATTAAATTATACATTATAAGAATACGAGAATCATCGAATTTACTTTCAAGCTATTAGAATTACGATAACATAAGATCTATATTATTAATTTGAATTATTTAAATCTCAAACATGTAACACTGATTTTAAGACAATTATTGAAGGACTAGACAATTTTTGAGTTTTGTTAAGAGAAATTGATTGCGATGTGGAATTGTTGTTGGTGGGGGGTGGAGAAATTGAAATTTTATGACTGTGAAGTGAAGTTTATCAACTTTGATTAGTTTGGATTTCGAACCTATTCACAGTTTTAATTCTAAAAAAAAAAAAAATTGAAACAACTTTATTTAAGTATAATAGTTGACGATAAAAGATTTGATCGCAAAAAATCATGTAAAAAAGATTATATTTGTTTAAAAATTAATAGTTTGAAATCCTTACTTTATTTTACTGTCAATTCAACAGTTTAACGGTAAATTTTGCAATTAAATCCATGAGTTAATACTTTATATCACTAATATGAATAATTAACGACAACTTGGCCAAAATTTATTTGCTTAGGAAGATAAATACTCCGCAAGTGTTGATGCTATGAGGCAGAGGCATTATGTGGTCATTTCGAATAATTAATTAATTGGTTGATATCACTTGTTTATTTATTGTTCAAACATGGAAGATTTGGTCGAAATTATAAGTTAGTCACTGCAGCGCTTGTTCTGTTTATGAACTTCACTCTCAATAGAAAATCTAGTTAATTTCTGAAAATTAAATTTCAAAAAATCACATGATTCGTGCTCTTTTGTGTTGTTATTATTATTATTTCCATTATTTGGTCATTCTGGTTATGTTGGAAAAGTAGAAAAGGAATTTGCTCACCATGTCAGTTTGCCGGCCCTCTAGCATGACCTGGCCTGCAATCATACATCTACAACATCTTCAAATTTTCAAGCTTTTTCAAAATAAACAATTCCAAATTATGGAACTAATGATAGCTTCATTAAATAACATTTATGAACGATATCTCACAATCCACTTCGGAGGAAAGAACTAAACTTCCCTGTAGCAGTAATAAGCTTAGGAAATTGTTTCTTGTTCTTAATTTTTCTATCTGGGTAACGCGGCCTCACTACTCAGCGATAAGATTTTTGTTTTATAATACAATACATAGATTGAATTCCGATCAATTAACTTAAATATATATATACCTATTGGAGAAAAATATTTGTGCCCTAAGCAATCCTATAACTTCTGAAGCAGCTAAATTATTTATATTTATTTAGTGAGTACAAATGACAGCAATTTAAATCAAGTAATTATCTTAGAAAGAAGGTTAATATATAGAATTACCTTGAATTTGTTAGGATCAACTAAATGAAAAACCACACCGTCTCCCTTCATTAACTTGTGAGCCTTGGAGAACCCTCTCTATCCAGCACTGAGGCCTCTCTTGTATGCAAGATATTTTGTTTGATAACTTTTCCCACTTTCATCTTCCAAAACCATAGTTGCATCCTCCTTCCGCAAATTCTCATTGCAGAGTTTCTTACAAAAACCCTATAACTGATCCAATAAGTTAAGCCTATACATATCACCCAAAGATTAACCAACTACTTAAAATATAAAAGGGTTATAGGTCAAGATATTGCTCTTGTTTTATTTATCTTAATTGTATCTTTTTACTAATTTTTTCAATAATTGTGTCTTTCTACTTTTAACTTGTGTCAAGAAAAGATTGCATATTATACCTACATTTTATTGAAATGTGATGAGGTGACACAATACATCGAGAAAGAGCTATAATTACAAAAAATTACAATATTGAACTTCATTAATTATCAATTAATTTACTATACAAAATAAAAATCTTATAATAGTTTTTTCTTCCACGGATATTTCGTTAGCCAACTTTATTAAAGCAATCCCGACATATCGAAGAACGAGGTAGATACTCGGCTTGAAACTAATTTTGCATTCTAGTTTCAGCTAAATTTTTCAATAATTGTATCAATTTCCAATGACGAGACTAATAGAATGCTAGCAAATGGCATTTTTTTCCAAAAAAATTCTGAAAAAAGTTAAAACAAATCTGAAAAAAATAAACAAATTCCAAAATGCCTCCTTTTTTTCTACATTTATGTATAGAAATAAATAATTAATTTCATCCTTTAATTTTTTTAGCTTTCTCTCAAATTCCAAAAAAAAAAAATATTCATATATTATGTAGAGGAAAGAACAAAATTATTTATTTATTTATTTCAAAAATTTATTATGAAAATTTATTTCAAATCCAAACACAAAAAAAAAAGAATTATGAAATTTTTTTCATAACATAAGAACAAAAGCAAAAAACAGAGAAAAACAGGGGCAATTTAGGATTTTTATTTTTTTTCCAGAATTTGAGAGAAAGCAAAAAAATAAAAAAATAAAAAATCAACGTATGAAATTAATTATTAATTCCCTATACATACAAGCAGAAAAAAAGGACATTTTGAATTTTTTTTATTATTTTTTTCAGATTTTTTAGGATTTTTTTAATTATTTTCAGAATTTTTTTTTTTTTAAAAAACCACATGTTCACATCTTGAGAGTTTATTATTAGAAATTGATGCAGTTACAGAAAAATTTAGCTAAAGAAATGAAATTAAGACAGAATAGTATAGCATATGTTTTATAATGCTTGGGAATTGAGGTGCTACATTAGCCTTAATCTCTTCTGCTCCCATCACGATGTCATGCTCAGCTTCCCTTTTGTGGTTACATCGAATACATTATAACAGATCACAAAACAATTTAGCTTTTTAACGAACCATTCGGTATGGTCCACTGACCTTTATTCTATTTAATCAATTGATCATTGCAAGTACTTCTAAAAATATTCGAGAATTGACCATTCCTTGTTGGGCCGAAGCCACAATTGTTTTTTTGTAGTGGGCTTGAAAGGGACCAAACAAACAGTATGGTAATGGCTTTTCTCCTATTCGGCTGTAGAAAGATCCAGTGATATGTGAACAGAGTCCATATATATATATATATATATATATATATATACCTGAATTATAAATTAGTCCCTCTAGTTTTTTTTAAAAAGGAATTACTTAGTCTATCTTATTTCAGAAACTAATTATTTAGTTCTTATATTTTTAAATTTTCTCATAAATTAATTATTTTTTATTTTAATTTATTTATATTTTTGTTTTAAAAATAAAAAATTAAAGAATTGAAGAGAAAATATTATATTTTTAAATAAAATAATATTTAATTAATTTTAATTAACTCTAATTAAAAAATTAGTTAAAAAACAAGAGAGACTAATTAGTTTAATTATTTCTTGAAGATAAAAATAGTAATTTTATAATTTACTCAAACAACAAAACTGAAATATTGAAAATAGAAAAAAAAATGGAAAAAGAACAAAGCTCAATGATTAGTGATTAGTGATTGATTAAATTCGTGTGGTAGCCCATCCTTGGTGCGAAAGCAAAACAAAGAGTATGGGTTTGAAATTTGGTTAGAAAAGACTCGCGTGGTTTGTACAGTCTAACCAAATGGTCAATTAAAATCAAGTTGATTTCTGGAAATTAAATTTCAAAAATCACATGATTCGTGCTATTGTTATGTTGGAAAAATAGAAAAGGACTATGCAAATTGGCAAACTTTGAATAATTAAATTTTGAAGAGAGGTCTGCTACAAGATGACTTTGCTCAAGATATGTTGGTGGCTAGGGGTGACCAAACGGTTCGGTTAACCGAAAACCGAATAAAACCGAACTGAATTATGAAATTTGATTCGATTTTAAATATAAAATTATACAATATAAAACCGAATTGAAAAAACCGAAATTATTTTGGTTCGGTTCGGTTTTTAGAAAAAAAATCTTGATTTCGACCGAAAACCGAAATAAATAGTAAAAAATTTCCTAATTTCTAAATCCCTAACTTTTCAATCTTCATTCTTGTTGAAACCGAAACACGCAGATGAGAAGTAAATTTTGAGAACTGTTGGGGTAAGAAAAAAAGTGACATAGTGTAATTAATTGGGATACAACGTGTTTGGATGAGCAAATTTATTACACTTGGACTCGTTTTCATTAAAGCTTAACTAAAATCTTCAAGAGCTTTGTGATTGTTTATAAAAAGGATTAATTGATAACAAGATGTTACTTCATTGGCTAGTGGACTAAGTGCTAGTACAAAATATCTCTCTCTAATGATTTTTTTTTTTTACAAAAAAATATTTTGGTTAAAACCGAAATATTTCGAAACCAAACCGAAATAATTCGGTTACAAATCGAATTTACCAAATTTATTTCGGTTCGGTTTTGGTTTTTATTTTTTTTAATTTGGTTAACCAAAAACCGAACCGAATCATACAAAATTGAACCGTTTAACCGAATGCTCACCACTATTGGTGGCTATAACGGAAGGTCTCTTTTGTTTATCTTAGCTAAGCCCTTTCAACAAGAAATTGACTTTTCTTTTTGATTACTTTGAATAATTATTTCTTTTTATATTAAAAAAGAATTATTTCGTTATTGAATTATCTTATCTCGGAATTTTGATATTAATTCAATTATATAGCTTTTCCTAATTCCTAATTAAGGAGTTCTAGTGATGTTTCCTCTTGAAAAAGAAAAGAAAAGAGAATACTAATACATTTCAAGTTTCAACTCTAAACTATTGTTTAATTGCTAGTACGATATCCTTGTCGGTTTGTCGGCCCTCTAGCATGATCCGGCTCGCAATCATATGTTGCCAACATCTTCAATCTTTCAAGCTTTTCGGAATCTTTAGGTAGAATTTAGTTGGATAGCCTTCGGTGCCTTATCTCTTCCTATAATATTTTTATCCATCAATTTAGTCTAAGATTGCATCTAACTTACATAATGGGCTTCTCTCTTACTTTAAGTGTGTAAAAATTAAAGCTATTAGGATTAATATTGTAGATGTAAGCATGTGCATTTTTGTACGTGAAAATCTTTAAACTCGCTTATATGTTCTCTCTAAGTATAAATTGTGATCTGTCTTTCATATAAAATCTTTGAGATTTTTTCTTTGCATCTCTTGTCTCTCAAATTGATATAAATATACTTCACACAATATCAATATCAAGGATATATCCACATTAAAAAAATAATATTTAAATGCCTTCATCATTAATATAAAATATAACTTGAGTTATATTTTATATTAATTAGTGTGTGTGTTAATTATAGAAATTGATAGAGGCATTCAAATATCATTTTTTAAATGTGAATCATGCCTTTGATAGAAGCATTCAAATAATTGAGTTATATATAACTCAATTAAGTTCGATATAAAATTGGGCTTTTGATAAATTCAGATTATCGAAATGGATCGTTACAAAACGGCCTTCATTGTTCCATTCAACCACTATGAATGGAACGTCATGCCCTTTGGACTTAAGAATGCCTCAACGAATTTCAACAAGATCATGAACGATATTTATAATCTTTATCCAGGATTTGTTATCGTTTACGACGATGATGTTCTAGTCTTTTCGAATCAATAGACCAAGCATTTCAAGCATCTAAAGGCATTCCTAGCAACCACTAAAAAGTTGGCTTGACCATATCGTCTAAAAAGATGAAACTTTTCCAACCTAATATCAAGTTTTTAGGGTCTAATATATCCAAAGGTTTAGCTCGTCTTAATTGATAAAGCCATTATATTTACAAACAAATTCCTAAATGAAATTAAAGATAAAAACCGATTACAAAGATTCTTAGGAAGCCTAAACTATGTGGGTGAATTTTACAAAGATGTAGCCTTAGGCCGTAAACCCTTATTTCAATAGCCGAGGAAAAAGTCTCTACCTTGGACTAATGAGCACACTCATGTAGTCCAAAAGATTAAGGAAAAAGCTAATGAGCTTCATTGATTAGCTATCTCTAATCCTATATCTTGCAAAATTGTCGAAACGAGATGCCTTTGAAATAGGATATAGTGGGATTCTTAAACAATAATCTTAAGGGGTAGAGAAAAGTTAGTAAGATTACTTCGTAAATATGAAACCCAACTTAGCGAATTATTCAACCATTAAGAGGGAGAATTTGTCCATGGTTTTGTGTGTCACTAAATTTGAAAGTGACTTAGTCAAACAAAAATTCTTATTAAGGATTGATTGTAAATCTGCTAAAGACGTCCTAATTAAGGATATTAAAAATATTATATCTAAACGGATATTTGCTCGATAGCATGTCATTTTGTATATCTTTGATTTTGATATAGAGCACATTAGATGTGACTTGAATTCATTGCTTGATTTCCTAGCCGGAGAATTCATGTAAGGATCGAAAGTTGAAATCAATCTAGATGTCTTTAGAGTTCAAACAATCTCCTAATCCTAAAAGGGTGTCACTACCCAATGTCGGATGAGA